TCTCCTCACGAGTCGTCGGTTGCTCCTGGTCTCGATCATTGTCTTGATGCAGGCGAGAAAGAAGAGAAATATGGTGCATCAAGACATCGCGGCGCCTGCTGGGAAGCGCACGCCTGAGGCCGGCCCGCGCAGCCGCCCGCCCCCGCGGGGGGCAGCCAGGGTTCGGGCCCCCGATGGCCTTTCTCCTCCCCCTCCTCTTCCTCCTCTTCCTCCTCCTCCTCCTTCTCATCCTCTTCCTTCTGTCCACTACAGATATAGCGCTTTTGGTTGCCAGATGATTCAGGATGCTCCTCGACGCGCCGAAACAAAAATGCACACACGTCCGAGCGGTGCCAAGCGCCGAACATGCGGGCAATACTTATACCCACGTCCAGTGCGATTTGGACTTTCGTTGAACGGGCACCGCAAAGATATGGATCAACGGCGAGCCTCGATAGGAGACAGATTCTTATTCATACCCAGTGCGTCTCGGGGTTCTGGGGAAGGGGGCCCGAAACTCCAAGCTGCAGTGGATATGGACCCACATCCCCGACGTCATGATTTTTTCATGACGTCGACCCTCAGAGGTCTGGACTCATTCCCAGGGACTGGTCTCTCATCCTGGGTTGTTTCTTGACGGTCCCGAGGCCCGGTAGGGGCTCCCAGACGCCGAAAATATAAAACAACCTCCCGTCGTGATTTTGTTCACGACTCGAGGGGTCTGGGCTCCAAGCTGCTCCAAGCTGCAAGAGTCTTATCCATACCCAGTGCGCCTCGAGGTTCTGGGAAAGCGCGCCAGGGAGGGGGGTCCGGCGCATATCCAAGAAATCCGCGCGGAGCGCAGACGTTTATGTTTATGCCGTTTTTTCTTCTAGATCCATGTTCGGCCTCCGGGGGTCCCCGCGGGCCCCAGGATCGGCAAGTCCGATTCAACAGCGAACGGTCCTCTGGGAAAGGACCCTGCGTGGTGAGAGGAATCACGACGTCGGAGCTTTGGGTGAGTGGCCCTGCGCCGGGGTGGCCCTTGCAGGGTGCGCTCGGGCCCAGGTGTCGAGCACACCGCTCGGGTGTGGTTCGGGGACGCGCAGCTGTCCATCAAGCGGGCCCTGGGACAAAAGATCTGGCCAACGATCCATCTGATCGATCGGGCAATTTCCCTAGGGGATGTGGGAGCATAATTCGGGCTAGAGGGCGCCCAAATCGCTGAATGCGATGGATGCGACGGCAGCGGCTTGCGCGCTTGGGCTTGCCCCCCACCCCCCACCCCACCCACGCCCCCTACCCTGCAGCAACGCACCAGAGGCAACTCTTGCCCAGGGCCTGGGGCCACCTGGTCACTCCTGCGCGTGGCCGAGAGCACCGCGGCGCTCGAGCGTCGAGGGCTCTCAGGTCTCGAGGCGAGGGGCCGCGATCGGCCCCGGGGGGGGGGGGGCGGGGGCCGGAGGCCCCAGTTGCGCGGGGCCAGGTGCGCTCCGAGGGGCCGCCCTGAGGCCTCAGCTCCGAGCCATCGCCGAGGGGTGTTCGCTTTCGCCGGCGTCGAATCTCCGTCTCCGATTCCTCGTTGCCTCGTTGCCCCCAGCGTTGCGCCGCCCCCTCATTTTGCGGACGTGCACTCGTCGTCGTCGTCGTCGTCGTCGTCGTCGACGTCGACGTCGCTTCGGCGTCTTCTTCAGTTTGTCGTCGGCGTCGTTCCCAGCGTTGCGCCCACCTCACTCCGCCCCCCTCTTGCGCCGCCGCCAGCCAGCGTCTACCTCGGGAAAGTGAAGCGTGCCAGTTCGATGCGCTTGATATCTAGGCACGCCTCTTGCCCCGCCGACCTTTCGTTGGCGCTAGAGCCCTGTCTGGCGGATTGCTTTTGATTGAACTTCGACGAGTCTCTTGTCGCCCCGCATTCTTGACGTCTGTCCCCTCGCGCGTGGATGGGTCTCTCCTCATCACCGCCATCTTGGCATCCTACCATCTCTGCTCCTCCTCCTCCTCCTCCTCGGTAAGAAGTTCACGTTGCGCCACCCAGCGTGTCAGTGGGGCTCGCCCGTAGGGTGTTCTGGCCTCGCCGGAATTGTCCCCATGACGCATGGTCCTGACATTTGACACGCCCAGCAGTTGCGCAGCTGGGGGTGGGGCCGCACTCAAAATCGGACGTTCGCCGCAGCGCCGCGCACACTCGTCTGCAAAGTTCCCACCCACTGCCGTGACGTGGATGGGGGGCGGCTCTTCTCTGTGCAGCGGGGCGGTCGCCTCAGCACCCCGCGCATTCGCTGCTCCGGGGGCCCTGCGTGCACCATGTGGCTCGCTCGTGACTCCCAAGCAGTCTGCTGCTGGTTCCTGGCTTGCGCCCAGTGCCCGCCTCTGTGCGCCGCGCGCCCGCTCCCTGCGATGGCTGGGCGTGCCGGGGGTGCGCTGGGGGCCCGCCGCGCCGTGCCCGCTGCGCGCAGGCACAGCGCGTTGGCTCGCGTGCTCCGTGTCTTTGCTGGCCCTCCTCTGCGGCCGCCCTCCACTGCCCCCCCTCCTCCGCGCCGCCCTCCTCCTCCATGTGTTTGTTTCCCCTCCTCCGCGGTTGAGGTGGTCGTCTGTGCACTGCGCGACGCTCCTCTGCAGTGCCTGAATCCCTCCTCCGATGCCGCCCTCCCCCCGCCCGCTTGTGTACGGTGCGCCCAGCAGCGGCCCAGCGTACACCTTAGGCGATGCTCAAGAAAACTTAAGTTTTCGGCCAGAGTCTCGATTATTCTTAACGTTTCAATATAAATCTTAAGATCTTAATGGAAATGTTGGTTTTTTTTCAAGTTCTGAGACTGTGAATTTCTTAACCCATGATTTCTTAAGCATTTCGCAGGGTGTAGGCCTCACCCGCGCCGCGCGACCGCCGGCGCGCCCCTGGCGTGGGCTGGCACAGCGGGTTGTGTTCCACCGGTGCCCGCCCGTGCCGGCCTCGCGCCAGGCCCAGGCAGCGGCATGCGTTTCAGGATGCACGTGTTGTTTGCAACACCTAGAGTGTGCTGATGGGCTTGCTTTCCACCACCACCACCATGAGTTGGAGGGGGAAGGGCTCCTCCTCCTCCTCTCCCTCCTCCTCCTCTTCCTCATCCTCCACCTCCTTCCCTCCTCCAACTGATGGTGGTGGTGGTGGAAAACAGGCCCATCATGTGCTAGTTGGTTCGTTAGTTGGATAACCGTGTCACTCATACGCCTTTTTAAATACTCATTCAATCACTCAGTCATCGCTCTGAAGGTGCGAAACGTTCTGTATGTCGTAAGTGCCGTGTGAAACGTAACTACCATTGCCCGTGCATTGTGTAGTTGAGCTTGCATCCGTGATGTCCCATAGCGCTGTAGTTAAAGTGTTTGTCGTAACTATAAGTATACAAGTGGATGTGGATTGCGAAGGTGTGCGCATTATGTCGTCCTGCATAATTTGAGCATATTGTGCTTGTCGCGCGCAGTTGCTATTCCATATGCGCGACATTATGTATGCATCGCGCACCCGTTGTCACAAGCGGGATCGTGCTCTGTCATGTTATAACTTGCGCTGGTTCTGGAGCTGCGTGTTGATTCAGCTACGCCGTCAATTGCAGTGTTGTGCATGCGCGCTCGTCGTTTCCGTGTAGCCCGTCCTGTGGGCAAGCAGAGCTGGATGCACCCTGCGCGCTGTGGCGGCCCCGTGTGCCCTCGTTGCCGCTGGGCGCACCACAGGGTCCCGAGGGTCTCGGGACCGTCTAGTGCGTCGTGAAACAAACGTTTTCGGGCGCTTTCGTGAAACGAGCGTGAAACAAACATTTTCAAGCGTGTTTGGGCGTTTTCGTTGGTTCTTGTCGGCTTTCCAGCCTGGGGATGCCTTCCAGTGGCTACGCCTCGCCGAGAGCGTTCCAGGGATGCCCGGATCGTCCCGAACAGCCGCCGGAGGCTTGAGGTTTGGCGCGGAATCCACCGAGCGGAAGGTCAGGGTCAACGGCATCCCCAGGTTTTGGGCCTCAGGACCGTCAACATAATCATTCGGGAAGAAAAGCTAGTCCCAGGGAAGAACAGCCAGAGTCCTCAGTCCACATCATGCAGAGGTCACGGCGTCGGAGGTCTGGGGGGTACCAGTCACAAAGCTCGCCTTCCATATCTCAGTCACAGAGTCCACCCTTAGTCCTCAGTGCCCCCCCAGTCATGGATTGCATCCCACAGGTTACGTCCCACGGGTGACGCTGATGAGATGCAGACAGTTGGCTGCGCCCCGTCAGTTGCACCCTACAAGGCGCACCACATGCATTACGGTCCTGATGATGCTTCGCACGAGTTGCACCCCAATGGTTGTACCCCGTGAGTTGCACCTCGTAGGATGCACCCATGCGTTGCACCTCGTACGCTGCGCCCCGCAGGTTGCACGCATGTAGTTGCATCAAGTTAGTTGAGTTTCACTACGTGGGGTACACGCGTGGTGCCATTTCTTTGCGAAACATGCAATACGAACGCAGAAGGCCCTAAACACAGCCGCCGCAGCCCAGCGAATGCCCCTCCTTTTGACCAAGGCTTGACAATGCTAGAACTGGGCAGGCGGTGCTCTAGAAGGATCAGGTTCTGGGCGGGTCACGGCCGGAGGGCGATCTTCCACAACTCTGCGGCGATGTTGTAAGGAGGGTGGAAATTCCCGCCCTCTTTTTCAAGCTCTTTTGATGCCGATGCCCGTTGTGTTTGTCCGCCCTTCTGTTTGTGAAAGTCCGCCCTACTTTGTTGACAGTTCTGTGTAATGTTCCACACAGATGTGGAACGTTCCACGAGGTTGTAGTTGTTGCTTGCCCCACGTTTTGTAGAGCTTGTCACAGAAGTAGGACGGACATGCCCACCTCACTCCTCTGAGGCGGAAGCCCACTGAGACGCATTTCCAACGCTGTCTTCCGTCGGAGGGTCCACCAGAGTTCGGCGGATCTGGAGTCAGAGTTCCCAGGGGACCACCCAGAAGAGCACCCACCACCGCAGCCGCGGGCCCGAGCGGAGCGCCGCGGGCCCTCGCCCTGGCGGCCCCGCCCCGCCGAGGGCCCATGTGGGCAAGCCCGGAGGAGGCCGCTGGGTCCGGGGAAGAGTGGCCAGCGCGCGGGGACCTCGCGGCCCCGCTGCTGCCGTCGACCGGCCGTGCCGCCGCGGCCGCGGAGGGGCGTCGCCGGGAGGCGCTGGGGCCGGAGGTGGTGCTCGGCTCGGGGAGCGGCCCGCCAGACCTGCTCCTCGAGCACGGGCGGGGCGCGCGGCCGCGTGCCCAGAGTGACGGCAGCAGCGGTGGGAAGCCGCGGCCGCGCGCGCACAGCGATCTGGAGGTGAGGAGAATCGGCAGCAGCGGCGGGAGGCCGCGTGCCTTCAGCTTCAGGCGCGCCACCAGCGGGGCCACACACTCCTGCAACATGGGTGGGCTTGGTGGCCCGAAGTCTGGCTGGGATGAGTTTGGGGACGCCGGTGTTGACCTCTTCAGGCGAGCTAACAGCTACGGTGGCGCAGCAGGGGGACTGGGCTTCGCCAGCGAGGTCGGCATTGTAGGTGGAACGTTCGACCTGAGCCACATCAGCCCAGAGCTCGCGAATGTCGCGCTGAGTATTCCTGGGGATGCCGCTGTCGAGGGGGAGTTTTCCAGGCTCACTTCCTGGAGCTCCTCCAGGGAGAGGCTAGACAGTGGATGGCGCACGACGATGGAAGAGCCACCGCCACCCTTCTCCTTCACCCCGAAGCACAAGGTCGAGGTGAGGGCTGTCTTGGACAACCAGTTGGCCGAGAAGTGTGCCGACGTCCTCGTCATCGATCCGAGCCGCTCCAACTCGTGGATCCACACCTGGGACATCCTGTCAGTGGCTACCCTGCTGTTCGTTGCAATTTTCCAGCCGCTGCAGACTGCGTTTGGTGAACCCGACCTTGTGTGCTTCAGGGTTGTAAACCACATTATCTTTGTCATCTTCTTCGCTGACATGTGCCTCCAGTTCTTCATCGCGTACCCGAACAGTGAGCACCCAGACATCTTCGTCAGGGACCCGCGCGGCATCGTCAAGCGCTATCTGAGGTCGTGGTTCGTCGTGGACTTCCTCTCCGCCTCCCCGCTGGAGCTATACAACTGGGTGACCGGCGGAGGGCGACACAGGGAGATTCAGTTGCTGAGGTTGCTCCGCCTGGTGAGGCTGCTGCGCCTCACGCACCTGCGCCGCCTGCGGCGCCGCATGACGATCACAGGGGAACGAAGAATGACATAAGCATAAAAACTTGGAGGTCCGCGCGGATTTCTCGGATCGGCGCTGGATCCCTCTCCCTGGCGCGCGGAGCGCGCCTCCAGGGGGGTCCAGCGTGGATCCGAGACATCCGCGCGGACCTCCAAGTTTTTATGCTTATGTCATTCTTCGTTCCCCTAGATCAAGTGGGGTCCCTCGAACGCGGCCGTGTCGCTGATCAAGTTTTTGGGCTTCACCGTGTTGTGGTGCCACTGGATGGCGTGCCTGTGGGGCGGCGTTGCCCTCAGCACAAAGTGGTTCCCCTCTGAGGATTGAGTCGGGCCTGTCCCTCTACAGAAGGAATATTCAAAGATAGTAAAAGATAGTCTGATGACGATTTGCCGGTTATCTCTTTAAAGAAAATGGGGAATGTTTGAATACTTTTGTTGGTCGTCCAATATCCGCTTGTAGGGGGACATGCCCGACCGAATTTGAGGAGACTGGCAGCTGGCTCGACCATCTCATTGCTTCCAAGGTCACGATTGAAGAGAAGGGGACCTCTTAAGGAAGGGATTCCTGATTTGTTTCATCTGTCTTCGGACTCTTCCAGGGCCCCTTGGCCCCCAAGCATCGCCACACGAAGCAAAGCGGATCCTGGGAGGGGGGGGCCTCTGGGTCCATGGCCCTTTTTCCTCGGGTCCCCCTTGCTCTCTTGGAACCCAAGGGGGTCACGGCCAAGTACTACCAGACCCCCCGGGCCATCTACGGCATATCACTGTACTGGGCGATAACAACGTTCACCAGCATCGGCTACGGGGACATCACGCCACAGAGCGAGATCGAGTATTGGGTCGCTTCGCTCTGCATGGCGGGCATGGCGGCATGCTGGGCCTACATAATCGCCCAGGTGTGTCGCATCATGTCGTCATTGCAGAAGTCCACGAAGTTCAAGCAGACCATGGACCAACTCAACTGGATCATGGATGACAAGGGTGTGCCGCATGAGCTGCGGGAACAGCTCCGCCGGTACTATATTGAGACCGCCGAGCTTCATAGCTTCGAGGAGAACAAAGTCATACTGCAGCAGTTGTCTCCCATGCTCCAGGGGAAAATATCCATGCACTTGCACCACCACTGGATCGAGAAGGTATGGTACTTGCAGTACATTTCCAACAAGGACATCATCATCGGAATCTCCCGCCGCCTGAGGACAATGGTCTTCGCCCCTTCGGAGGAGATCTTCTTCGAGCGGACGCTCTTCATCGTGCGCCGCGGCCTGTGCATCCGCAGAGGGAGGATCCTCTTCAACGGTGACATCTGGGGGGAGGACATGGTGGTTTCCAACGAGCACCTTCGCGACCGCTGCCTGGCCCGCTCAGTGAACCACCTGGAGACGATCATGCTGAACTTCGCCGACCTGAACGAGGTGGTCCAGACCGTCCCACAGGCTCGCCACAGGCTGCGCTGGACGCAGGTGGCCATCGCCACGAAGGCGGCCTTCGTCCGCATCGCGGAGAGCATCAAGCAGCTGGAGAGCCAGGGCGTTGCGACGAGGGCGTCGCTGACGGGGAGGCAGCGCCTGCGACTGGTAGAGGAGGTGCTCAGCGGCACCTTCTCTGGGTCCATCCCCGAGGAGGACGAGGCCAAGGACGCTCTCGAGCTGCACATCGAGCAGTGCATGGCGCAGGCCAAGAGGGAGCTCACGGATGGCCTCGTCGGCCACCGACTGTCAATGGAGTTGACCCCGTCGCCAGTGGCCGACGGCCGCTGCGACGGCTCGCCCGGGGCCCAGCTGACCAGGAGCGCGAGGCCCTCAGACGACGCTGTCTCGAGCGTTGCGGTGGTCGAGCTCGTGAAGGAGCTGGCCATGAAGATCGACTGCCTGCTTCTGAAGGACAAGGTGGGGCTACGCAGGAGGACGGGGAGTGGGGGCGACGGCGCATGCGCTTCCCCGCGCAAGGCCGCGCGCGAGGGCCCCCTCGAGCCTGGCCTTCCTGAGAGGGTTGCCGCGCTGGTGGCCCTGCCCAAGCCATCGCGAACGGCAAGCTCGCGCCGCGTCGACGCGGCCCCGCGCGGGCGTTCAGGGTTGAGCTCTCCGGCCGCGGCCCAGGAGCGGCCGGCGTCGAGGGGTCCGCGCCGCAGGAGAGGCGCGAGCGCTCTCAGGGTTGAGGGGCCCACGCGGCGTCGGCAGAGCCAGCGCGCCAGTCTGCACGGCACAGGCCCGCCGCGAGGCGCTGCCGCGCCCTCGTGCCGCGAGGCGCCCCACTCCTCCCCGCCCCGGCCCAGGTGGACGGCAGGCAGAAGCGGCCCGGGATGACGCGCACGCTCACGGCGGAGCTGCAGAGGCAGCGGAGGGAGTCCGAGGGCGCCGACGTCGAGTGCAGGCGGAGCGACGCCGACGGGTTCTGGTGCTCAGCATCGCCCAACCTAGCGAAATCCCCGTCCCCTCTGGGCCATGGCATCTCAGCCCCACCAGCCTACTCTCTCAGGTGGGGAAAGGCCCCGCGAAACGCGAAGGAGCAAGCATGTGTGGTTCAGGGCTCGGGGCCCCACATGCTCATGCTGATGCCTTCGCCCCCCGCCCCCCCCCCCCAGGTGATGCCTCCCCCTGCCCCTGTGGGCTTGGCGTGATGGACCCCTCCCTCTGGGTGTGGGGTGATGGGGGGTGCCCGTAACCTTCCCCCTACTCGTTGTGTGTGGAGTGGTGCTGCGGGACCGCCGTCGTCGTCGTCGTCGTCGTCGTCGTCGTCGTCGTCGTCGTCGCCGTCGTCGTCGTCGTCGTCGTCGTCGTCGTCGTCGTCCCTGGGACCCTGGGACCCATCCGATTTGGGTGTGGGGCCCGTGAACCCTCGAGCCGGGGGGCCAAGGCCACGCCAGTGGGGACAGGGGTCAGATGAACAATGCTCAGGTTCGGCGGCGAGCTGGGGGGGGAGTGAGAAGGGGCGGACCTTCTCAGAAGGCGGCGGGACTTCTCAGACGCCCTCGCGCCTTCTCAGAAGTTTTCTGTGTCTCGGGGAAGGCTGGTACAACTTATCAGAAGGTCGGGGGACTTCCAAGCCTTCTGAAAAGGCCTTCTCTCGGCTATACGTAACAGTGGCCTTTCGCTGGAGTGACTTCTGGTACGGGCAAACTGGGGTACCCAGTTGGCTGAACGCGAAACAACAGCAGCGGCTAACGCGCTCCGACCTGACATGCTCCCCGGCTCCCGAAAGTCGCGCACAAAAAGGTCACTCTTGCCCAGGGTCACACTCTTGCGAATGCAGTCCACCCACATGGTAAGGATGGGCAACCTTCCCAAGGGCACCCTCTCCCTCTCTCTCTTTCCCACTCCCCCCCTCCCTCCCCCTTCGCTCCCCTCGCTCGCCGTCCGCAGGTGCGGCTCCTGAGGCCTCCCCGGGCCCGCCCGGGCCCGCGAGAGGCGCGCCCCGGGCGCTGGCGCGGCCGGCCGGCGCGCGGGAGCCCCCGGGACCGCCCGTGCCGGCCGCTCGGCTCGGGCTCCGCGCCGGCGCGCGGCCGCTCGTGCGCCCTCGCGGCTGCTGCTGCTGCTGCTGCTGCTGCTGCTGCGGCTGCTGCTGCTGCTCGGGGCCCACCCCCGCGGTGCGCCGCGCAGACTTCGGCTTCTCGGTCGAGGTTTGGGCTGTCTCCAGGCATCCCAGCTGGGTTCCGAGTATCGCCGAGCGCGTTCCACTCATTACTCGCAAAGTGCCTACTCGCAACCGTTTGAAAAACACATGATTGTTATAGAATCTGTCGTAGACCGTAGATCCCCCGCGTGGGATCCAGGCCATTTGCGAGTAGTGACTTTGCGAGTAGTGGAACGCGCTCGTCTAGAGTAGATGGGGTCGGAGGACCTCGCCGCATCACCGATGCGTCGACGCTGCAGATCGATGCGAAGTCAGAATCCCTCTACGCCGACAGCACCAGTGCATCGGCGACGTGGCCAGTGCATCGCCGATGCATTCTTGATATATAGCTGATGCATCCATGGTGCGGCGCGATCCTCCGACCCCATCTCCTCGGACCCCATCTAGGCGGCCTCTATTTGCTGCTCGCTCGAGCGACGAAGTCTATACATATGCATCGCTCCCTGGCCAGGCCCATCCTGAACCCAAGAGCTGTGTATATACGCCCTCCTGGCCAAGCCAGGAGGATGTGGCGCATACACAGCCGTTGAGTTCAGGATGGGTCTGGCCAGGGACCAGTGTATATATATATATATATATATACACAAGACTGGATTGGCGCTGCGTGCCATGTACCTTGGTCCTTTGAGTTCTGCACGCAAGCGGAATGCGTGCGTGCGTATATGCGCGCATGCATGTATACACGCGCACGTGCATGCACGTTCCGTATACTCTAGGTGTTTACAATATATGTACATTGTTGTATGTGTGTCTACAGCGTACATATGTACATATGAAGTTATGTGTGTAAGGGTATGAACATGCATATGCAACTCGTACGTGCTTTGTCGGTGCACGCCCATCTGTACAGATATATGTATTTGTATATAACTATGGGTTCGCATACACATGCGTATCTCAGGCGGTAGTGGCCTGACCAGTTGCTCAGGGCATCTCGCAAATGAAAGGTGAGATTACCACGGGACCCCTGGATGCCTCACGAACAGATTGTGAAAGTTGTTGGGGGCATCCTCGGGCATCTTCGCTGCATGCCACGAGACCCTCAACGACTGAGTCACAATGTGAAATGTCATGGGAGCAAAACCAATGAATGTTGGCATTCGCAAACATCGTGGGGGTGTTTTCGGGGCCATCGTGGGCTGTTTTGGCGCCTTCATGGGCCGTCCTGGGGCCTTCTTCTGCCGTCTTGGGGAGCTTGGGCCCGCTGGAGCCCCCTTTGGACCCATCTTGGGCACTTCCGGGGACCTCCCATGGTCCTTTTGGGTCTGTGCTGGGAGCCCTTGGGGGGCCTCTTGGTTCCATTATGGGCTGTCTTGGGGCTCTCGTGGGCGATCATGTGGCCCGGCTCGGCCGTCTTGAAGCTTTCTGAGCCTTTTTGGGCGTCTGGAGGCGATCTCGGGAGCTTTGAAACCGTCTTGAAAGTTGATGAAATCCGAAAGGCGAATATGCTCAAATTGTAAGTTTTACGAAGGGAATGGGACGATTGTTGTGATTTGAAGGCCCCTTGGAAAGCGTTGTGGGGTGCCTTGGAGGTCTTCATGTTGGCATTCGGGAACATCGTGGGGGTGTCTTCGGGGCCCTCGTGGGCCGTTTTGGCGCCTTCATGGGCCGTCCTGGGGCCTTCTTCTGCCGTCTTGGGGAGCTTGGGCCCGCTGGAGCCCCCTTTGGACCCATCTTGGGCACTTCCGGGGACCTCCCATGGCCCTTTGGGAGCTCGTCGGGGGCCTCTTGGTTTCATTATGGGCTGTCTTGGGGCTCTCGTGGGCGATCATGGGGCCCGGCTCGGCCGTCTTGAAGCTTTCTTGGGGGCCTTTTGGGGCGTCTGGAGGCGATCTCGGGGGCTTTGAAACCTTCTTGAAAGCTGATGAAATCCGAAAGGCGAATGTGCTAAAACTGTAAGTTTTACGGAGGGAATGGGGCGATTTTGGTGCTTTGAAGGCCCCTTGGAAAGCTTTTTGGGATGCCTTTGGGGTCTTTTGGGCCGTCCTGACGCAATTGGAGTCCCTCTTGGAGCGCTCTTGTGCTGTCTGGGGCCTCCCTTGAGCCTTTCTGATGACCCCTCGGATCGCTCTGGGTCTGCTGGCAAAGCGTTTGTGGAGACCCGGAAAGCCCAGTGACCTTTTCCAAGGACGTCCAGGGAGCCCGAGAATCCCAGATCCCGGGGGTCCAGTTTGGGGGGGGGGGTCTCCCCCCAGGCATTTCAAAATATAGGAAGTGGAATATATACAAGACTGCGACCAGACCCCTCAATTTGCCCAGACTTAAGGATCCTCCTCTTCGGCCCCCCTTTTTTTCCTCATCCTCTCACTGGCGGATATTTGAAAGGAAGGCGCATTGTGTTTTCTGTCGCGCGCGCCCCACTCGCGCGCGATCTGATGCCGAGGCGGCATCTGCATCTACGGCAAAATGCCAGTGCAGCGGGTTGACAGACTAGAGGTTTTCTAGGCCTGGGCCCAGTTGCGCAATCCCGCGCGGAAGCAATCCTTCGGCGCCATCTGCACTGCGCCGCTAGTGCACGCAACCCTGTACCGACGCAGCGCGTCAACCACGCTCGCTAGCAGTGGAAGGCGAGAAGGGTGCACGACGACACCTTCCGAGGCCAGCCTGGCGCGCACTGCGTCCGCAGTGGGAGGCTGGAGAGGCTGCTGGCGTTGACCGACCATTGCATCATCGATCTGTAGCTCCAGGCTCGCGCGCCCGCCGGCGACCTGAGCCCATCCTTGACGAATTGAGTAGATCGGTTCGGAATCGACCGGCGTACAAGTTTAATCATTGAGCCAATGTCCTTACGGAAGGCAGCATGTTGGAGATCTCCTTAAACCTGCTCCTCATCATCTTCCTTCTCATCTTCCCTGCCTCCTCCCCATCCTCCTCCTCCCTTCTCCCCTATCCTCCTCCTTCCTCCTCCCTCCTCCTCACTCTTCCTCCCCCTCCTTCCTCCTCCCTCCTCCACCTCACTCCTCCTCCTCCCTCCTCCTCCTCCGTCCTCCTCCTCGCTCCTTCTCCTCCTCCTCCCTCCTCCTCTCCCCGTCCCTCTCTCTCTCTCTCCTTCCCGCTGCCTGTTTGAAGATGGAAGGTCGAAGATCTGAGCAGACTTATTGCCCGCATGTTCAAACAGGGTCTGTGTGCCCCTGATTGAAGACCCCCCCAGTAGTTTAAAACGTTTCAAAACTGGCCTCCGGCAGCCCGGTTTGAAGATTGAAGAACGCAGCAGACTTATGGCACGGATTCTTCAAATTGGCCAAAGACAACGTGCAAGTTTAGTGCCTCCTCCTCTTCCTCACTCCTCCTCCTCCCCCCTCCTCCTCCGTCCTCCTCCTCGCTCGTTCTCCCCCTCCTTCCTCCTCCTCTCCCCCTCCCTCTCTCTCCCTCCCGCTGCCTGTTTGCAGATTGAAGATAGAAGATCCGAGCAGACTTATTGCCCGCATGTTCAAACAGGGTCTGTGCACCCCCGATTGAAGACCCCCCCAAAAAAATAGTTTTAACATGTTTTAGAACTGGCTTCGGCAGCCCCGTTTGAAGATTGAATATTGAAGAGCGCAGCAGACTTATGATATGGATTCTTCAAACTGACCAACGACAACGTGCAAATGTAGTGTTTGAAGACTCGCAGACATAAGTGCCCAGAAATCTGCAATCTTCAATCTTCAAACAGAGCCGCCCAACACGTCTACCCTACACACACGCGCTTGAAGAATCACAAACATAGGTGCCCAAGAATCTTCAATCTTCAATCTGCAAACGGAACCGCCCAAGACGTCTACCCTGCACACGCGCTTGAAGAATCACAAACATAAGTGCCCAGGAATCTTCAACCTTCAATCTTCAAACAGAGCCGCCCAATACGTCTACCCTACACACACACGCGCTTGAAGAATCACAAACATAGGTGCCCAAGAATCTTCAATCTTCAATCTGCAAACGGAACCGCCCAAGACGTCTACCCTACACACACCCGCTTGAAGAATGTGTCTTCCTCCTCCTTCTCCTTGGGGGGCGCAGCATGGGTCTTTGGCAAACCCTCAACATTAGTTTGGGCAAATCGAGGGGTCTGTGGGCAAGACTGCAGTGGCGCTTCGCGCCATGCACCTTGGTCCATGAAGTTTGGTATGCAGGCGGAATAGCAAGGAGGTCCAGCCGACAATTTAGCGATAACTCCTTGTTGCCTTTTCTGGCATCGCCGCTATAATAATGTTATACGCTGTCCTTCCTCCATGTTTCTTTTCCTCCTTTTCGCCATACCCTGCGCATTCTCCCCATCCTCCTCGGCTCTTTTTTGCGGAGGCTCCTCCTTGGAGAGCCCCTCGGGGCCTCACAAAAATTGTTTCAGGTTTTCTTCAGGCCTTCTGGAGGCCTCCTGGGCGTATTCTGTGGGCCTCTGGGGGTTTCCTCGGGCCACCCTGGCTCCAACCGCGGTCTCCCTGAACGACCGGGTCACGATTTGGAATGCTTCGGAGGGTGTCTTGGGGCCATTTTGGGCCGCCATGGGGCTCTGTGGGGGCCATATTGGACCCGTGTTGTGCCGTTTTGGGGCTCTCTTGGACTGCCTGGACGCCGTTTCGGATGGTTGTCGGGCGAGCTGGGAGCTTCCCAGGCGGCTTCGGACGCCCAGAAGGCCGCCGTTTTGGCGTCGGGAAACCGAAAAGAGGAGAACCCCAAAATTCACCACCACCAACAGAAAATCAATGATTTGTGTCTTTGGGGGCCTTCTTGGGAGTGCTCTTGGAGGCCTCTTTGGGGCCGTCTTGGAGGCCTCTTGGGCCATCTTGAAGTCACGTCGGCCACTCTTGGAGTACTCTTGTGCTGTCCTGGGGGTCTCTGGGACGTCTCCGATGACCCCCCTGATCGCCCCAGGTGTGCTGGGAAGGCTTGGCAAAACGCCCTGCGAGGCCCAGGGGGCCGCTTCGAGGCCCGTCCGGAGGGTCCCAAAGGCCCAGATCCCGGGAGTCTTGTTTTTTTTTTGGGGGGGTCCCCCCGCCCGGGCTTATAGAAATAGAGGAAGAGGAATATGCATAGATTTATGTGCATATCTGTATACAACTGTTCACATGTTTGTCGTCGCCCTACTTGTGTGAACATCAGTGGAGGCCGCCTTCGCTTGGTGTTGCACGGTGGCCCCTCCGTCCTCCTCTCGCTCCCGCCTCCCCCTTATCCTGAAACTACTCCTGCTGCTTCTTTTCCTGCGCCCTCCCATCGTGCCACTCCTCGCTCGCTCGCGCACTCGGGCCCAGAAGTGTGAAGTTCTTGCAGCGTCCCCACGCGGCCGCTGGCTGGGTTCGGCTCGCTGAGAAATGACCAGCCGCTCTCCGTGCAGCTGGCCCCGCTGATGCGAAGCAGCGTAGGGGTCCCTCGGGTTGCTCAAGGAGGCCCTCTTTCGGGCCTCTCTGGTTGCCCTCTTGGGACCACCCCGGGGAAATTCAGAGGCCTCAGAGTCCGATTGGAAGCCGAGGAAACGAGAAGGTAAACATCGCTGAAAAGCCCGAGGGTTGAGTGACTTGGGCCTTTCTATTTGGGGTATTATTGACAGGCTTATGGGGGCACCTTCGACCCACCTTGGTCCTTCTTGCGGCCTTATGGCGGCATGCTTGATACCGTCTTGAACAAACTCGGGCCGTCTTGCGCCACCTTGCGCCGTCTGGAGCTACCTGGGGCAGCATCGTGCATCGGCGACGCCCCCCGTCCCTGAACACACACACACACACACACACAACACACACACAACACACACACAAAACACACACACACACACAACACACACACACACACACAACACACACAACACACACACACACACAACACACACACACACACGCAGGTATGCACCGGCCGCTCGGCCCCGCGGGCCCTTCGGCCCTTGGCTCGCCCGCCAGCCCGGCCCACGTGCTCGCCCGCATGGCCCGCATGTTCCAGCGGCCTCGCCCTGGGCGTCCCCGAGGGTCCATTGGATCCCGGCCCGTTTGGGTGAAAATGACGCCAGGGCATGCCACCCAGACGCCAGCAGCAACGGTGGGCGCCGGCCCAGGACGTATGGGGCTCCTCTGCCCCGCTGCGTGCAGGAGCAGGGCATCGCATGCCGCCGCCGGCTCCCGGCAGCCTGTGCTGCGCAGGGACGGAGAGGGAGAGAGTAGGGGAACGAAACATTTTCATGAACATAACAAGTCGGAGGTCCGCGTGGATTCCTCGGATCCGCGCTGGACATTTCTCCCTGGCGCGCGGAGCGCGACTGGGGCGGCGCCGGAGGCGCCGCCAGGGGACTCCAGCGCCGATGCGATAAATCCATGCGGACCTCTGAGTTTTTATGTTTATGCCATTGCTCGTTCCCCTATGCTTAAGTCGGGCCTGTCCCTCTACAGGAGGAGCATTCAAAACTGGTCAACAAATATTGTGGGGAGGGGACTTTTTTAAACAACTAGATTGGACCATTTGGGGACATTGCGCCGATGATCTATGTCATCCAAGAGGCTCCCGGGCGAAGACGTGTAATGCCCGCCCTTCGGCTATTCGCCCCTATCATTGCCGCCGATAGAGCTGAATATGCTTCACTTCCCGTGGCGGATTCGACAAGGTCAGGCGCGCCGCGGCCCGTCATTTACCATTTCAGGCTAGTCGGCTGCGCTGACATCGCACCGCCGACATTCGCGCGTAAGCGGTGCGCAGAAGATCACGCGCGAGAGCCCTCGTGTCCACGTGGTGTGCCGCGTTGACGGCCCGTGCAAGCCATCGCATAAGGGCGCGAGGTCCTCTCGCGCAAAGCCAGTCTGTCTTTTTCGCTCAGCTGGGTTTGCCCAAGGAGTGTGTTACCGCATTTTGGTCAGAGGAGCACGACTATACAAGCCTTATCCACTCCTGGATCCCTCAATGACCTTTTTGGTTCTTTGGGCCACCCTCCACTTTCTTTTCGGCTCATCTTGGCTTCCGCTGGTCTTGCGGTTGCATGCAGGTCGCCCTCAGCTTTCATTCAGCTCGCCTCCAGATTGCCTTCAGTATGCCCTGAGCTCCGCGTTGTATTTGTGGCAGCATTTGAGTTCATACCGTGCCTCCTGCCTGCTAGGATATTGCGTTCAGCTTTTGTTTGCCCTTAGCTTGCCTCGAGCTTCTCCCTAGATGGCTTTTGCACTGCGATATTCGCTGGACTTCAGCTGACATATCTTGCTGTCGATTGGTTTAAGTATGGCATACATACTGCTTCAATATTGCCCTCAGCCTGTCTGCCTCTAGCACCTAGACTGACCTAAGCTCGTCTCTACATCAGATTCAGCTTGTTTGGGCACAGGCTTCAGCTGGCACTCTTACCATTGCATTCCATATTCCATTTTCTTCTCAGAACAAGTCGCACCTTGAAAGGCACGGAGGGTACTTGGTATTATCTCGACGACAAGGCCGAATATGCTTGAATTTCGTTGGGCCGAAGATCACAGATGAAGTGCTCAGTTTACTGCATATGATCCCCTCAGACCACTTTTGCGCAGACCACCGTGAGGAGACCGACGCGGGTGCCAGGTGCTCAGACAGCGGCGCACATTGTGCTTCCCACAGGCCTCTCTTTCGAGTTGTCCCCCTGCCCGCCGCCGTCAAGCAGGCGTGGCACCCGGTGGCCGCTTTAGCTCAGGCCCCCCTGGCCTCGGCAGCGCCGGCTTGGCGTGCCTCGCCGGCGATGGCCTGCTGCTGGTCGGGCGCCGCGCCGCCGTCGGGGCCGTGGCCCCCGGGCGCCCGAGAGGCGCCCACGCCCCGGCGCGGCGGAGCGCGGCATCGCCCGCGGGCGCCGCCGCGCGTCCCCGCGTGGTGCGCGCGCGAGGCGCGGCGGCCATCCTGGGGCGGCGCGCGCCCCGCGGGGCCCGCGCCGCCGCGGCGCTGTGCGCCCTCGGCGCGCCGGCGGGCGCTCTGGCGTGGCTCGCGCGCGGGGCGCGGCGGCGGCGGCGGCCTCGGCGCGACGCGCGCCCGGGCGCCAGCGCGGCGCTGTGCGCCTTCGGCGTGTCCATCCACGTGGTGGGCAGGCAGCCGCGGGCCGGAGCGAAGGGGGACTGGGAGGCCGCGGCGGTCTCCGAGTACGTCGACCGGCTGGCGGGGGGCAGCCCCGAGATCAAGGTGCAGACGGTCTTCCACAAGACCGACGCGCAGCTCCTCCGCGCCGTGGAAAAAGCTTGGCGGCCCGCACAAAGGTGGCGGGGCGACGGGGCGGCCTTCTGAGAAGGCAGGGTCTGTTTCATCAGGCATGGGAGGCTTCTAAGGAGGCTCCCCAGAAGGCAGGAGGGCGTTCAGTAGCCCCTCTGCCTTCGTCAGAGGCAGCACTCCTCGACCCACTCCCCTTGTGCGCACCGCCTGCCAGCCGGACACAACGCCATCGTGCTGGACGAGCGCGGCGCCTTGCTGACCTCCGAGGATTTCGCGGACCTGTTCTTCGACCGCCTCGAAGCGGGCGGGTCCCGCCTCCTGTTCGTCGTGGGCGGCGCGACGGGCCTGCCGGCCGAGCTCCGGGGGCTCCCGGTGGCGAAGCCCGGGCCGGCGCAGGCGGAGAGCGCAGGGCCACGCCGCGAGCTGCTGTCGCTCGGGAGGATGGTCCTCCCCCACCGCCTCGTGCGGGTCATCCTGGTGGAGCAGATCTACCGCGCCGCCCAGATGCGCAAGGGCACCAACTACCACGTGGGCGATCCCTGACCGAAGGCGCTTGCCAGGCGCTGCGGCGAGCGGAGCGCACCAGTGGAGAGATTTAAGGAAGCCTTGCGCGGCTCCTGCTTCCCGGAACTGGCGACGACGCCCCATGACGCCCCCCACCCCACCGAGCTTGGCCCACTCCCAGCGTGGACGCCGACACCCTCGAGATGATGCCCGGCACGCGGTGTCCAAGACTGCGACGGCGGCGACGACGATCACCACGACCTGCGAGGGCCACGCGACGACAGCGACGATGACGACGACGGCGGTGACGACGACGACGACGACGACGACGACGACGGCTCCGACGACGACGACCTGCGATGACCGACGGCGGCGGCGGCCGCGGCGACGGCGCCGACGACGACCTGCGTGAGCCGGCGCTTCCAGCCGCGCCGCGCCGTGCGCGCAGGTGCTCAGGCGGGCGGACCTCCCCGCCTCGAACGGCTTCGAGCCCTGGATCGGGCCATGGGGCGAGGCGCAGGCCCAGACCCCCGACGACTCACTGGTCGAGCGTCGAGGATCGAGTTCCTCTGGGGTGTCTCGCTGGGGCCCCCAGGGGGTCTCCTCGCTGGCACGGCTGGCTTCCAATATCGGGATCCCAGCCAGGCCGCACCCCAAAGCAGGTCCCGGAGTCGAGCTCGAGGCCCCGGGGCCCAGATCCCCAACGCACGGGACAGAAGCGCTCCCTGCGCCCGTGCTCTTGTTTCAGGAGGAAAAGAAACACACAGACACACTGAATCCTCGATTCCCCAGAAAATATGGGAAAATATGGAAAGGGGGGGGGGGAAGACAGAAACCCAGAAAATATTGGGAAATGTGGGGAACATTTTCATTCGTGTATTTATTGTGTGTCCTGGGGCTCCTTCATTGTTGTATGCCGACCGGCCTCCCGTGCCCCACGCGCACGGGTCGTGGGCCTCCCCTCCCTGCTTGAAGAGGCGCACCGTGCCCCAGATCAGCCCAGGGAGGGGAGCTCCCGCGGGCACGAGGCCGAGAAGTGCTCGCGGGCGGCCCACGGGGCCTCTCGCAGGGTGCCGCCGTCGCTGGCCATCGGCCAGGTTCGCCAGGGTTCGCTCGAGCTTCCAGGGGCCTCGGGAGACCTCTGGGGAATCAGGGCGACTTCCAGAGGTTGTCGCCGTCGACGTCATCGTCGTTCGGCGGCATCGGCATCGGCCTCGTAGTCAGTTGTAGTTGTCGTGCTTTGACTTGCCCTGCTCGGGACTCGTTTTCCGATGATGCAGTGACCATCCGCCTCCTCTTGACCTTCTCCCCTCCTCCTTCCCCTCTTCCGTCTCCCTGCCGCCCCAATGTGTTATTTGTCCCATATTATCCTTTCCTCCTTCGTCCCCCCTGGCGGCTTGCATCCCCACTCCTTCCATGATTTCTGGCACCCCGGGCTCATCGACAGAGCTGTTAAATTTGTGCCTGTGCAGCAATCGCACTCGCAATTCGGAAGAAAGATCAGTTGAAGCCCGCGCGAGGATCCGAAGACCAGGGACAGAGTCAGAGTTCGCTTGAGCGACGCAACAAAAAAAAAACGGGGTCGTATGCGCCGACATTGGCGCGGAAGCTGCCCGCGTAAGGGCACGCGTACGTGCCCTCATCTCCAATGTGGCATGCCGCGCCGGCGGCCCGCGTCAGCCGCTGTGTAAAGTCGCTATGCAATCTCACGTAAGACCCGATTTTGATCGTCGTTCACATGTGGTCCGATTTTCTCAGGGTGCCCGAAATTGTTGTATACAGTTAACCCTGATAGTAAAGATGATCGACTTCCCAACGATACCCTTGCATCCTTACCTCTTCGGTCATCTGCGGTCCATCCTAAACCACTATCGATGGCCCGCCCCGCTCGAAGAGCCTCGGCATGGGCGTCCAGGATCCTTGCAGCCTTACCGCGCACCCTTACTACATGGGTTGACTGTACGGTCGGGCCTAGATATAAGATCGAGAGGTCGCTTCGGGGAGGGTGCCCTACTGTTCATCGTGTTAGTTGGAAATTATTGTGCATCCTGGTGGAGGGTGCTCTCGAATGCTCTTTTGGCCGGTGGAGGGTCTCATGTTCTTGGAGGATGCTTTTCTGTCCTATACAGGTCCGATTGCACCGCGCACCCTCACTCGCCGGTCGTTGAAAGCAGGTACTTGTGGACCCCCTGATTCCAATACATTTTAGGCGCCTTCCTACTTCCATCAGACGTTGGTATTGCTTGGCTCTTGTTTGGAAGCGTGGGGGTCAAAATCCAGGTCTGCTTTTCCGCCTCGTATTTTTGGCTCGAGGCTCACGGGGTGCTCGATTTGTGTTCCCGCATCGAATCGAACTGATCATACGGGTGGGTCGCGAGTGGGTCGCGGGGGTGTCGTGGGGGTATCGCGGGTGGGTCGTGGGTGGGTCGCGGGTGGGTCGCGCCGGGTGGGTCGCGGGCCAGGTCGCGAGAGGGACGACGACAACAATAACGACCAACAATCAACAATCAACAAACAGCAACCAACAACACCAACACCAGCAGCAGCAGCACCAACAACAATATTTTGCAGGCTGTTCGCTCGTATCTGCTCGCGCGCCGTTCAACATCTATACCCCACACCCTCGATACCCGCCTTCTTCGCCTTCGATCGTGCCCCACTTGCGGGTATATCTTCCCTACTTGCCGCGTGAAATTGGCGTAGCCCCTAAACAGGGGAATGAAGGGAGGAGACAACAGACAAGGGGGAGAGATGAGGATGGAACAAGAGAGAGATCTACAGGCTGTCGCCGCTTCCGCTCACCCGTTGTATCATATTGTGGGGTTCTTTTGAGCCGCCCTGGAGGCTTTGGACCGTCCTGGTACAAATTTGGATTTGCTTGGAGCGATCTTGAACCGTCTTGGAGCAACGTCGTGTAGGACAGCATCCTCCTGTCGAACGTGCAGTTTGGGATCCTGGGAGAGAGGCCATTTTGAGAGGGGGAGGGGCAAGGGTAGTTATTCCACGCGCCTGGCCATAGCGAAGGGGTCGGTGGATCCACTTACTTGGCCTCGGGGGTCTGATGAGATTGTGGACCTGTCGTGGGGCCCTCCCAGAGGCCTCTTGGTCCGTCTCGGGTCGCTTGTCAGGGCCTCTGACCCAGTTTGCCAAAATGTTTTGTTTTGCTTTCACAAGGAATGGGCCAATTCTGGCTTGTAGAGGCCCTCGTGGTAAGTCCTTAGGGGGCCATCTTGCAGTGTTTACGAGGCCGCTGAAATCCCTCCAGGGGCGTCTGCGGCGCCTTGCGGGCCGTCTAGGGGCCATCTTGGGACAGTGTTGGGCCGTAAAGGGGCCATTTGGGGCAGTTTTGAACCCGTGTCGGGGTCCTGTTGGGCTGTTTGGGGCGTCTCTTGGGCCAGCCCGGGGCCGCCTGGATGCGTCATGGGCCTTTCCTGGAGGCCTCTTGGCCCTTTGTGGAACCGTGCTGGGGCCGTCCTGGGCAGGGCCCCCCGAACCAATTTGCCAAAACATGTTAGTCTTCCATAAATGGTCCTTTGGCTGCTTGGGGCCCTCATACAGGGTCTCGTCTCTGGGAGGCTCGGGTGGCGTCTTGGAGGCTCCGTGGGCTGTCCTGAGGCCATATCAGGGCGATTAGGTGCCATCTGGGAACGTTTAGGAACCCCTAAGAACCATTTCGAAGCCATGCAGGCCGTCCAGCAGCATGTTTGAAACGGTTGGGTCCACCAGCCCTTTCCGCACCCCCCCTCCAAACCGGCCAGACGGAGCCCCCCATGGAGGTTTCTGGGGAGGGGCAACGGTCTCTCACGCAGCAGATCCCAAAGGGTCGGCGGACTGTCCATCTCTCTCGTCTTCTCGCGCTGGCCCTCAGCTGATCTTCCAGAGGGGTTTGCGGTGAGTGCAGCACCACATATCCCCATACTCAAATGCCTGCGAATTGTGGCCGAGGAGGCCGACACTCTGCGACGGGGAGGCGGGGGGCGAGCTGTGGTCTCACGATTGCACCGCCCTGCTGATTGACAGAAGCGTTGCGGTGCAGCTGGAGGAGCGCGTGCGGCTGCCCAACTTGGCACAGCACAAATTCGCTTGTCAGCTTCCGCTCGACCTTGTGGCGGGGTCATCGGAATGCAGGTTGCTGTTATGAGAAAAATGGCACCTATGCGGCATCATACCCGAAGCAGTTGTACGCAGTTGTGATGAAACTCTTCATGATGATAGTGGCGAGTCAAGCGAAGTTCTCCTTCTGCTCCGTCCCATTCGCGTCGCGGCACCACTCACGACGGACAGTCTTTCGCTAGTGTGTATGTGTGTATGCATGTCTGCATGTATATATATATGCATCTATGTATGTATGTAAGTAGGTCGGTAGGTAGGTAGGTAGGCAGGTAGGTAGGTAGGTAGGCAGGTAGGTATGTAGGCATGCATGCGTGAATGTGTGTATGTGGGTATCTGTGTATGTATGGATGAACGTGTGTATGTATGTGCGCATGTATGCATGTGTGTATGTAACTATGCGGATGGATGGATGGATGGATGGATGTAAGGACATATAGGTGTGTAAGTGTATGTATGTGCGTATGTTTGTGGTTGTAGGTATGTGTCCGTGCATGTATGTATGTGTGTATGTATGTATGCATGCGTGCATGCATGGATTGTTGTGTGTATGTATGTATGCATGTACGTATGTACCTGTATGTACCTGCATGTACCTGTATGCATGCATGCGTGTGCGTACATGCATGTGTGTGTGTGCATGCGTGTCTGTCTGTATGCATGCATGCATGCATGCATGTGTACATGAATGCATACATGCCCGCATGCTTGCTTGTATATGTGTACGTACGCATGCATGTATGCATGTATGTATGTATGCATGTACATATGCATGCCTGCATGCAGAGTGAGGGGCCGAACGGTCATTCATTGTCCCGTGGTGCGTGGCTGAATAAGGAATTCGTGGTGGGAAGTATGTGTGTTGCGATGTTGTTGTAGTTGTAGTTGTAGTTGTAGTTGTAGTTGGTGTTGTAGTTGTAGTTGTAGTTGTAGTTATAGTTGTTGTTGTTGATGTTGCTGTTGCTGTTGCTGTTGCTGCTGTTGTTGTTGTTGTTGTTGTTGTTGTTGTTGTTGTTGTTGTTGTTGTTGTTGTTTGTTGTCGTCGTCCCACCCGCGACCCACCCCGCGACCCACCCCGCGACCCACCCGCGACTCACACCGCGACCACCCCGCGACCCACCCTGCGACCCACCCGCGACCCACCCTGCGACCCACCCGCGACCCACCCGCGACCCACCCGCGACCCACCCCGCGACCCACTTGCGACCTACGACTCACCCCGCGACCCACACCCCGCGACCCACCCTCAAGGGAGGAAAAAACACCTGGACCCGACAATTGACGTTTACTAAAAGGGCCTTGGGCGTTGACTAAACAGCCCTGCCCTGTTCGATTCATTTTTCGCGTGCGTTTGTTAAATGGCTTCGCTTATCGGGGTGATTATTCTTGAGTGGATTTTCTGCCCTGTACACCCGCGACCCACCCGCGACCCAACAGCGACCCACCCGCGACCCACCCGCGACCTACCCACATTGGCTTAACGAAAAAACGGCGCTTGCGGCGGGCTCGCTGTATAATTTGTGAAGCTTTGGCGCTTGCGGCGGGCTTCTCCAGAGTCCCGCAACTTGCCGACGTCCCCACCGTCCCCTCACTCTTATCCGCATCTGCGGGGTGCTACGTATTTATGTATGTATGCATGTGTGCATGTATATATGCATGTATGTGTGCATGTGTGTATGTATCGAAGTATTCTGTATGTACACACGACCGTACGAACGCACGTGCGTGCGTGCGTACGTACGTAAGCAAGTAGGTACGTACGCATACATGTCTGTAGGTGTGTATGTGTGTTCATGTCTATATGTATGTATGTATGAATGTATGTAATTATGCATGTATGTATGTATATATATATATATATATATATGTCTGTCAGTCTGTCTGTCTGTCTGTCTGTCTGTCTGTCTGTCTGTCTGTCTGTCTGTCTGTCTGTGAGTCTGTCTGTCTTTCTGTCTGTCTGTCTGTCTGACTGTGTGCCTGTGTTTATGTTTGTAGGTATGTCTATGTGTATGTATGTATGCATGTATGTCTATATTTTCCGTGGGGCGAGGCCCCCTGGCTGGGCCCAGGGACCACGGGGGAAAATTTTGGGACAGGGCCTCCGGGAACGCTCACAGACGGCCCAACGCAGTCTCGAAACGTGCTGAAAGGGCCCCAAGAGGCCTCCGAGACGGTCCAATGGAGCCCAGAGCCACCGAAACATCGCCTCAATACGCCCAATTTGGCCCCGAAGCGGCTTAAGAACGCTCCAGGCTCTTCAAGAGGCCTCCAACAGGCCTACCGAAATGCCTCCAAGAGGGCAAACTCTTCAAATCCCTCCAGGAAAACGTGCGTTCTACGCAACATCATTTTTCGCTTGTCCAACGCGCCAAAGCAGCCCAAGAATCCCCACAAGCCCTGGGACCACGCGCGCAAGTTTCGCGCGTGGCCCCAGGGAGACGGCATCATACTGGGGAGGGATGGGCTGAAGTCGAGGAGGGAGGACCACAGAGAGAGCAGGAAGATGCGGGAGGGACGCGCGGAGGGAGTGGCAGGGGAGTGGAGGGAAAAGGGGCAAAATAAAGTATACGGACTCATGCGATTGCTTGTCTGCGCGGCTCGTGGAGGGAAGGTCGCTGGGGGGCGGAAGCAGACACGATCAACGCGGACACGCAAGCTCACGTTCTTGCTTGCGTGCGCCGTCGCAGGTGGAACGAGCGCGGGTCAAGTCAGGAATGGGAGGGACGGGAGCGGGAGTGAGGGAGCGGCAGCAATTTCAGAAAAGGGGAGCAGCTACTCCCGCTCTCCCTCTGAGCTAACTCAGAGGAGGGAGCGGGAGTTTTCTGGAATTTCCACACTTCGACTTCGCGTCATGTGTTGTTTCGTGGTGCATCTCCTGGCGACGCAGACATGCGTAGGAGAGACGGTTCTTCCGGTTGCAGAGCTGCGTTGCCATAACCTTTCAGACTTGCTGAATCGTAAACACGTCGTATAGGAACTCATAACTGTATAGCGCATAATATATTCATATATATATATAGAGAGAGACACACACATATAGAGATTGCTGTCGATCTCTCTCTCTCTCTCTTTGTCTCTCTCTCTCTCTCTGTCCCTCCCTATGTACTGCGCTCTTTGTATCTATCTCTCTCTCTCTCTCCCTCGTCTCTCTGTCTCTCCATCTCTCCGTCTTTGTTTGTTTGTTTTTTCTCTCTCTCTCTCTCGCTCTCTCTCCATCCCCGTACTTTCTTCCTCTCCCCTCCCGCTCCTCATGGGGCCCTCTTGGAGCCTTCTTGGAGCCCTCTTGGGCCCCAGGACGGGCCTCGCCTCGGAGCCTCTTGGGCCCCTCCTCAACGCCTTCGAGGGCTCTCTCGAACCTCTCCTGAAATCGTCTCGGGGCCGTCTTGGGGCCCCGCAGGCCCATGACGACCTCCGACCTCAGGGAGCCTCCCCTTGCCCCTCTAGGGTCCCCAAGAGCACCCCCCAGAGAGTTTCGGGAGGAGGAGGAAGAGGAGGACCGGGGGGAGGAACTCTCGTCTCGGGCCCCTCTTGGGCCCGCCTGGGCGCCGGAGAAGGCTCCGAAGGGGCCCCCAGGGGGTTTCGAAGAGGGCTTGAAGAGAGCTCCAAGAGGAGCCCAACGGTATTGCATGATCATGCAAGTGCATGATCATGCAATACTCGTCGGGTCCTCGTGGAACCCCATGGGAGCTCTCTTGGGCTGCTCTTGGATCCCTCTTGGGCCTTTCTGTGTCCCGGGTAACGGCCCCGAAAGGCCCAGGAGGAGGAGGAAGAGGAGGAGGAGGAGGAGGAAGAGGAAGAGGAAGAGGAGGAGGATGAGGCGGAGGAGGGTCAGGAGCAGGAAGAGGAGGAGGAGGAGGAGGAGGAGGAGGAGGTGGAGGAGGGGGAGGGGAAGACGAGGAGATGAGAAACGGTCGCGCCTTGGGGGGTGGGGGGGCGGGGCGGAAAGCCGGAAATCCAAAATTCCCTGTTTTTGAAAGGGGGCCTGGCCGAGAACACAAAAAATTGGATTTCCGGGTTCCCGTAATCCTGATTCCTGGGTCTTCCAGGGCCACATTGGAGGTCTCCGCCTCCGGTGACTGCTTGTTGAACCTCGGTATCCCAAAAAAGTAAATTTCCCAACGAATTCGAAACTTTCGGGCTCGATTTCGGAAAGGCGCTCGCGCCCAAGGCATCATCCAAATTAGAATTCGAAACCTTGTCTGGCCCGATATCGAAGAGGCGCTCCCGTCCAGGACTTCATCCAGAACACAATTCGGAGCCTTTCGGGTTCGATTTCTCAAACATGCGCTCCCGTCCAGGACTTCCTGAAAATTGGAGTTCGACATCCTTCTGATCCGATTTCAAAATGGCGCCCCAGCTGAGGATTTCCTTGAACATACAGGTCGGCACATCTCCCGCTCGAGGTCGCAATGACGCTCCCCCCTAAGACTTGTCCTGGTAGAGCCACGAGACGGGTCGAAACTTTCGTAGCGCCGCCGCAGACTTTCATACCGTTTACGGTTGCCCTGGATTCGGTCGGTCTGGAAAGTGGCGCTCTCGCTCGCCAATCGATGCGCCGCCGTCGTCGTCGCGCACTATGACACGTGCGCAGCGCAGTGTGCAGGGCAACCGTAATCGGTTTGAAATGCCACTGTGTAAGCTCACGTTGCGTACGGTTGCCCGGCATATGGTCGGTCTGGAAAGTGGCGCGCTCGCTCGCCGATCCGATGCAACGCCGTCGTCGTCCGTCGTCGCACACTGTGACACGCGCGCAGCGCAATGTGCAGGGCAACCATGAGCGGTTTGAAATGGAATTTGAAATTGCCCATGTGGTCGGTCTGGAAAGTGGCGCACTCGCTCGCCGACCGATGCGCCGCCGTCGTCGTCGCGCACTGTGGGTCTGGCGCAGCGCAATGTGCAGGGCAACCGTAAGCCGTTTGAAATGCCATTGTGAAATTTCAAACCGTTTATGGTTGCCCGGAAGTTGGTCGGCTTGGAAAGCGGCGGAGTCGCTCGCCGATCGATGTGCCGTCGCCGTCGTCGTCGCGCACTGT